GTATTAAATAGATATTGTTTTGGCTGTTTTCATTTCTTCTTAATATATTGTTTTAGTAGGGTTGAACCATTTCTCCTCAAAGTAGAATGATTTTCAGATCGGCTTCTCCAGTAGTCCACTACTGTTTGAAATGGACAAGCGAAAAAATGAATAAAGAAAAAAAAGTGTGGGAATCTTTAATTAATAGCAATCGAATATATATATATTTTTCAATCAGGTGCACTTTCTTCTAACACTCTACATATGTCAGTTGTGTAGATTTATATCCTTGTATTGACACATCATTATGTAGTATTATTAGTAACGAACTTGATAATACTTAACTGGTGATGCTTAGCATTTATTGGTATATAGTCGGACAAGGAAACAAGTATAAATATTGATATTTAACAACCAAATATTCAAAAAATAAAGTTGCCTTATTTAAATAACAATGTTTAAACAGAGACGTTCGAAATTAGTCTAGTGATGATAAAAAACGACGAATAAATTTACAATTTCTCACTGATAATTTTTATTAATCGCTACGAAATTTCCTTGAAGATTATATAATGATCTCTAATAGAATCAAATCAAATGTATTATGTGTTTTTGTATTGAAAATAAATTCAAATTGTATAAACACTCTCAATAATATAAAACATTTACCGAGCTTTATTATAATCTTCTATATAAACGAGAGGATAATCAGATTTTTCATAATCCCTATAGCTATATACATTGAACTAACGATAAGCCTTGGATAAAACGCTTGATTTGCTTTCTTCGACGATATATATGAATGAAGGCAAAGAATTCTTTACAGAAAAAATAAAAAGCAATACTATCTGCTTCATTAGGCTTGATTTTCACATAATTATTCTCTCATATAGATATATATTAGAATAATATTATGACATAGCATCGTTATTGAGCTATCAATACATATACATAATCATAGAGAATAATATAAGTAAACATTCATGTAATATTCTGATGTTCATTCATATAGTAGACATATGAAAGACATTTATAAATAAAACTTACTAAACAAAATTATCAGCTCAATGTTATTTATTTCATCATATTTTATCTTAATGAAAGAGATTTTTTCCAACACAATTAGTAGCGTCATCTACTGACAAATCACGCGCTGTTACTTTTTATATATTGGTTGGCATTTCAAATCGATATTTTATCCATTCATATATTACAAACAGGTTTACATATTGAATTTTGTTCTTAAAAGAACTCATTTGATATTTTACATCATTGTTCGATAAAAATTACTAAGTGAGAATTATAATTAATCGTAGAAATTTCTTTTTTATTCTATTTTCTAGTTTATAAATGATTCAGTTTGTCGTAATTTAATACTGCAATGAAAGACAATCTTGTCGATCAACAAATAGTAAAAATGAATAAAAAATCAGAGATAATATCAGGTATATTGTTTGAATTCGATGGATAAATTCATACAATTGAAATCATTTTATAGATAATCAAGATAAACCTCCTATGATAGCTCAACTTGCAAGTTTACAAAGACTAAAAGAAGTAGATTATATCTAAAATAAATATTTTTCAATAAATAATTTTCTTAGGTCGGTTGGTATTGGGGCCCATTAAGTTGGATTGATGCTGAACGATTACTTAAAGACAAACAAGATTATTCATTTATTGTTCGAGATAGTAGTCATCGACATTATTTTTTAGCAATTACATTTAAATCACAAGGCAATATTCATCATACTCGTATTGAACATAGCAACAGTTCGTTTAAAAAAAATTTTTTTGTTTTTTTTTCTTAATAAGAAATTTTCTTTTAGATTCATTTAGTTTTTATCATGGAAATTCAAAATCACAATGTACATCATCTGATGTAGTAGAGTTTATAGAAAATACAATTGAACATTCAAAATCGGGTCAATTCATGTTTTTTATACGGTCAAGTATACCCGGTTAGTTTTCGCTTATAATTTAACTAAGAAAAAAAAAAGAAGCAAAACTATTTATGATCGTTGTACTTCAATGATAGGCTAAAATTTTATTAGATATTCCCAGTTTACTATCATGCATAGAGTGAATACATCAGTAATCGAGATCAAATCGTTTGGTGACATTATAGAAGAATAGTTTAAATCTTACTATTTTCTAAAACTTTAATTTTTTTCTTTGTCTTAGGTCAACCGATGACACCCGTCCGCCTTCTGTATCCAGTATCACGCTTTGCTTATATGTCATCACTGAAACACATAGCCCGGTTTGTAATTCATCGTCAAATACGTCGAGATCGTATCGATGATCTTGATCTTCCAGTACGATTAAAATCATTTTTAAAAGAAGCTCAGATTTATACTGAAAATATCCCATCATCAGATGATATTTCCGAAACTTAAATGTTGCTTTTATATTTTCTCTTTCAAAAAAACGAAATACAAGTTTGTTATGCAGTGCCTTAATTCATACGAAAAAATCAAATCAAATATAACAGTCTCTTTTTTTTCGGATTTTGTGTGATTTTTTTCAGAATACTTCTTTATGTATTTTTTTTGATATAATATGAAGATAATATAAATAAGAGAAATGTTTTTTTTCTTCTTTGAATTTATATATTTTTTTTCCTGTATCATAATTGAAAGGATATTGATCGTTACACAAAAAAAAATAATAAGTTTTTCATCAATAAATATGAATGCAATCGAACTTGAAGTGAAATTTATGTATGGATATATTCTAGATAGGAACAAATCTTAGAGAAAAAAACAAAGTGTCTAGATTTAGTATAAGTCGAAGAATGGCACTCACATTTGTGACAGGAAATAGAAATAAACTAGCGGAAGTTCAAGCAATTCTGGCGGATGTATTACCAAATTTAAGATCACAAGATCTTGATTGTAAGTATTTGATTTAGAAAAAAACTATACGAAATCTTGCAAATAGTATTGATAACTCATAGGTTGTCTCATTCAATATGTCAATTCTATTTATAAGTAAATTTTGTTTATTTTATAGTACCGGAATATCAAGGTGAATCTGAAGATATCTGTAAAGAAAAAGCAAAAATAGCTGCTCAACGTGTTAATGGTCCTGTTTTAGTTGAAGATACTTCTCTATGTTTTAATGCATTAAATGGTCTTCCAGGTCCTTATATTAAATGGTTTTTAGATAAACTAGGACATGATGGTTTAAATAAATTGCTTACTGCATATGAAGATAAAACAGCATATGCACAATGTGTATTTGCATTTTGTGCTGGACCATCAAATGAACCAATTACATTTACAGGTCGATGTCCTGGACGAATTGTTACAGCACGTGGACCAAATACATTTGGATGGGATCCAATATTTCAACCTGATAATGAACAAGGACAACCTGGTGATAAAACATTTGCTGAAATGGATAAAATAATAAAAAATCAAATTAGTCATCGAAGTCAATCATTGAAATTGGTGAAAGATTATTTTGACAAACATCCAGAATATCGTTCATAATGTCATTTTTCATCTTTCAAATCTATGAGAATTGCATTTGATTTCAATAATAAGAAAAATAAAACTATGTACTTTTATCTGTTTATATAAAAAACTTTCCATGATTCATTGATTGCAATATAAAAAGTACCAGCTGCATTAAGGAATAATGCAAGTAGGAGTGTATTTATTACAAAATAATGACAAATATCGCAATATTAATAAGACTGAGAGAGAGAGAGAGAGTCAAAAGCAAAAGAAATACGAACATCATATACAACATTATAGTGAATTCGTTATTCATTTTATCAAAATACTTTGTTTGTAATATACATACACAAAATATGATTTATAAAAGACATTTTTTTCTGTTATTTTTCTTTTGTTTAATTCATTCCTATTTATCATTGTGTACTCCATCATCACAGCAATGTGGATGTTCACAAGTAAAACCTCTTCTTACCCAATCAAAAATTGTTGGTGGTTATACAGCTCGAACAAATTCATGGCCATGGATAGGTAAGTGTGAATAGTGAATGATTGATTTTATATATGTATGAAATAAAATAGTTAGTATTCGTCAATTATCATCAAATGCATCATCATCAACAAGTCCTGGTAGTGCTTTTTGTGGTGGAACGCTAATTAGTGATAGATATGTAGTAACAGCTGCTCATTGTTTTTATAACATTAAACCATCACAATATCCATTGTATTTTGTTGTCGTTGGTGCTCAATATAGAAATGATACGAATCCAGTTCGTTTAACAATTAAATCTGTTATAATACATAGTAAATATGATCCAAGTACATATGAAAATGATATTACTCTATTAGAACTTACATATCGAGTTGATTTAAGTGATCCAAAAATTGGATTTATTTGTTTACCACCCAGTAATATACTGACATATCCAGATGCATCAATAAATGCAACTGCAATTGGTTGGGGAAAATTGCAGCAAAGTGGTTCATCATCGTATACTCTTCAACAAGTTCAACTACCAATTATTGATTATACAAATCAATATTGTTTTAGTGCTGTATATGATAGTTCAGTTCAATTTTGTGCAGGTTTTATTCAAGGTGGAAAAGATACTTGTCAAGGCGATAGGTATGTATATATATAAAAATATGATTTATAACATATGAAATATTTTTAGTGGTGGACCATTGATGGTTTATAATTCAAATAGTGATACATGGAATCTTGCAGGAATAACATCATATGGATCTGGTTGTGCAGTAGCAGAGAATCCTGGTGTATATACTCGAGTGAGTATGTTTGTAGATTGGATTAATGGTTATACAAGTGGTTCAAACTCTCAATCAAAAGCATCGATCAACTTAATACCGAATGAAGTTTTACTCTTTTTATGTTGTATGAGTTTGTTTTTCTTGAAAACAACTTTTTTATATTTAAAATATTAATTTCTTTTTTTTATTGACGAATATTAAAAAAAGAGAAATTTTAACATTACAGAATAAAAATGTAAAATATTGTATAGTTTTTAGTACTACAAAAAAACAATGATATGTTATACAAAATTCAGGCTGGATTATACAACTTGTTTTGGGACGAATTGATTATGGATGACGACCGGGTTGAGCTAAATTAAAAATTTCAATTCCTACATATTCTCTAATAGATAAAGTATGTACTTACCAGGTGGAAGATTGTTTCCTGGTCCTGGATTTGGTCCACGATTAGGTGGCATACCAGCAACATCAAGTGGTCCATTTGGTGGCATGCCAGTTGGTGGCATACCAGTAAAACCATGTGGTCCATTTGGTGGCATGCCAGTTGGTGGCATGCCTGTAGGATCATGTGGTCCATTTGGTGGAAGACCATTTCCTCCTAAGCCATTGTTGTTGGGTGGTAAGCCAGCTCCTGGACCCTTATTATTATTTGATGGTCCAAATCCTTGATTATTATTTGGACCAGTAGGTGCCGAGAAGACGGCAACGATAAAAGCAAACTAAAATAAGATTAAATAAGAACAAATGCTTTAAAAAAATATATAATATACTAACCAGTGATAAGGCAAGAATTGCTGAGTTCATAGTTGTAAAGATTATCGAAATAAATATTTGAATGGTTATTGTCAACTGAATGCTGTCGTTTATATATGACGAATGGCACTGATTTTATGCCCACACATTTTGTTGTTTATTTTACGCAGTTTTCAATTAAACATGCTGCACAATGCACTTTTTTATGCTTTCAGTTCTTTCATCTCAGGTATAGAAACAAATCGCATGCTGATTCATTATACGTCATTAATCATGTCAATTATAGGTGAAACTGTCTTACGCCAGGTATTTTTTCCATTAAAGCTAATGTCCTTTTTTCTCTTGTTGTCATGTCGAACAGTACAAAGAAATCAAACAAATACGTATAGAAAAAAATATATGACGTCGAAAAAAACATTGAGTATTTATTCAAAGTAACATAAGCTTTTCTTTAGCCAAATGA